CTTCAATAGTCCAAACCGGAACTATATTGCCGGATGTCCAAATCGGTACTATATCCCCGGACAGACTGGTACACTTTTGGGCCAAAGAAGTCGCACGCAGCCAGCATACACACGTTCCTCACACCACCCGATAGCTGAGCAATGGATTCATTTGGTCCAGAGACACCTAAGCATGACGAGGTCAAAACTCAAATTTGCTGTTGGATCCCGTGGATGGTGGCAGCATCCGTAGTCATGCGTGTGCACGGCGGTGGGTGCACATTCACGAGGTTGGCATGATGCAACGAAACCTCGATTGTTGTATCTCCTAAACCTCGTGTACCCACCTAGATATTACGAGAGGAATTAGTTTATTTGGTACAGACACATGATGAGACGAGGTCAAATTCAAAGCTTGTCGTTGGATCCCGCGGGTGATGGCCAGCAATCACGGGCACGTGTGTGTACGGCCGTGGGTGCATGAACATAACGTCGACAGGCCACAAATAAACATAGATTGAGAGACAAACTCTGCTCACATGCCCACCTATTGCAAAAGTAATTACTTCATTTGGGTGAGAGACACCAAAGCATCACGCGTCCAAACCTCGAAATGCCCACGGTGGATCATACCCATGTGCTGGTAATCATCCGCACACACCTGCGCGGCCTGGCGCGATGCACATCGCAAGCAGGCCCCAACAACGCAAAACCATAATATTAGTGCGTGTTGCATCTGGCGCACTAGCATACTACGAAACGATGCCCAATCTTCCAAGTCCAGTATTCGATCCGTTCTGAATGCTAATGCCACCCGTTCGTGCTGGCCACATGTCAAAGGAAAACACTAGAATTGAACACGTTGATCTGGAAACTGCCACCGACAGTTCGAGGAGGCACCACGAAGAAGAGCACCGCTGCTTTACAAACTTGGAGACTGGCCACTAACCAATTGTCGTTTCTTTTGCGTGACGATACCTTACCTCGATTTCAGGGTGGTTTCAATATCGTCTGCAATCACGCAGACCCATGGCTAACCGGGACAGAACACGTGGTGCGCTGCACCCCTCTGTTCGGTTCCCCCCGGCGGTGGGGGGTTACACACCGCCCGTGTCCCCGCGGCATCNAGGCACCACGAAGAAGAGCACCGCTGCTTTACAAACTTGGAGACTGGCCACTAACCAATTGTCGTTTCTTTTGCGTGACGATACCTTACCTCGATTTCAGGGTGGTTTCAATATCGTCTGCAATCACGCAGACCCATGGCTAACCGGGACAGAACACGTGGTGCGCTGCACCCCTCTGTTCGGTTCCCCCCGGCGGTGGGGGGTTACACACCGCCCGTGTCCCCGCGGCATCCGGCCGCTGGCCAGCGGACGGAGGACCCATCCTCTCCAACTGCTGCGAGAGGCAACGAAGAGGGAACGCGACGTCGCGGGAACGCTGGGGGGGAAGTACAGACACCGAGGCCAAGTAGAGCGAAGCGCCAGGCGCAAGATTCAGGCGCGCGGTCGAATGGTTCGGGGCGAAGATCAGGGAAGAGGCGCCAGGCGAGGGTTAAGGCCAGACGTTCTTTGGCTCTACTACAACCGCAGTTGCAGCAGAGGATTGCAAATATGTATAAGGAGCAGCAGTCGGTGGCGAAGGCGGAAGCAAAGGTCCGCAAGGAACGTGAGACCGCCGAGGCTGAGCGTGACAACACGGCGAGCACTATCCCGGGAATTCGTTCTCGGCGGCGAGTTCAAAATGGGAAGAGACCACGAGCAGTTGCCGGTAGTGACGGAAGCAAAAGAGAACGGAAGCCACGCGCAAAGGCCTGCGGGCGCCAGGAATGCGGTTGGGTCACCACCATCCCCGGCGAGCCATGTAATCTGTGCCCACGGGGGGAGCATTTGGCAGGAGAGAAACTGTGTGCTGCATGTCACAGGTGGGTAGATGAGAAGGGCTTCACGCACATCGTCAGTCGCATTTCTACGGCTAGAGATATCTGCGCCAGAATGACGACTCTACCCGGGAGCGTCGTGCATGGGTATCATCCGGACTGTAGTCATTGCCTCTGCCAACGCGAAGACTGCTTCCACCACTTCGTTGTTCAGGGCACCAGGACGAGGTTGAAGAGGAAGTGCGACGAGTGCAAGCAAACTTTCCCGGTCAAGGGAAGGAGATGGCACCCCGCGGTAGATGACAAGGACGGGAGGGGGTCCTAGCGTGAGGCTTCATTGCGTTGCCACGCCTGCTGTATGCGGGATCAGAATAGGAGGTCCATGTCAGCGTCGCAAACGCCAGGCGGTAATCGACCCGATGTCGTCGCTCCCACCACCTTGTCGCCAACCCCATCGGGTAGCGTACCTGATGTTGTTCCTGTCACCTCGGCGTCGCAGGAGGCAGGTGGTAGTGGACAATATGTGCCGGCAAGTACCAACTCATCTCAACCGCAAGTCGAAAGTGGAACCGAGCCTGTCACCGCCCTCACCTCGTTGCAAGAGACACCCGGCCGCATGGCCGAAGTGACTGGTGCGCCCGCGTTAC